AGCACACTAACCATGAGGCCACCGCATCTCCCTGCTGTATCCTGCAACAAAATAGTGTTGTGTTTCCAATCCTTTATTGACCAAGCCTGTTCAGTCAAGATGTCTGGATATTGACCTCACTCTTTTTTTGCATATTTATGGACCTTGACTCTGTCTCAGCCAATATCCAGCCACCTTGACCTCACACTTGGTCAATAACCTATTATATACTAACAAAAATGGGCTATTAAAGAGTAAAGTCCACCCTCCCTCCCCTCCACAGGCCCTTGATATTGGCTACAAAACTCTCAATATTTTGAAAGTGACTTACTGTTCTTTCTGGTTCTAAATCAGACTTGTTTCCAACCAAAATCATTGGGAACTCTGACCTGTATTATCAAAAAGTGAAAAACAGTGTCATATGAAAAGAGGGCTTTCAAAAAATTGCAATTCTGAAATTTTATATATTCATAAATGGCTTCAAATTACAATAAGAGCTTTCTTCAATTTTTAATACATTGTAATAGATCATTCTGGTGTCGTAAGTAGAGAGTGGAACGTGTCACAAATGTAGAGAGAAAAAAATGCCATGTCCCTGCATGTTACATGTAAGACTTAAAGATCACAGAAGCATGTCACATCTCTGAATGTTAGGCAAGTCATGTGGCTAAAGCAAGAGAACAATGGAACATATGATAGCTGGATTAAGTGTAAATCATAAGAACATCATGCATTAAATCCATACAAACACACCTGTCCTTTACACGTAGTATCTGTGGATGAAATGTGCGCCTTACTTCTTCAAAGCTGTAAGCAAAAAAGAACACTCACAGGGCTTAAAAAAAACTTTAATTTCCAGCTTACCGATCAGACTGGCAGTTCTCAAATTTTGCTTGCCCTGGGAAAGTCTTAGTTTACTTTTCTTGCCATTTAGTTGGCAGATGACCTGCCTGTGCCCTTGGGCAAGTGAGAATGAAAAGTAACTTGCCCGGCAGGAAAATCTACTTATCGCGGACGACCAGGCAGCTCTTTTTTTGAGCCTTGACTCCCCTTAATAACATTGTACTGTGCCTATCACGGGTCACTAGCTTACCAATTTTTACACTCAAAATAGAAGAGAACAGCTGCATGGATATATACTTTTCTTGAACTCATTAACAATTTATCTTGCATTTACACAAAGGAAATCATGACTGTGATGGAGTTTGGATACCTGATCTTAATTAGCCTATTTTTTTTTACAATTTTATTTCACCATTTTCTCCTTAGCTTTGGTTTTGACTGAGAAGATACGTCAAACACTCAGGACAGTGATTGACCACATTTCCAAACACCTTGAAGTTCCTCAAATATTATTTTGCTACGTCTTGTATTTTCAACTCTCTTCTGGGTGCTTGGAAATGTGGTCAAACACAGTCTTTGTGTTTAATATATTAAT